CAGGCTGGTTTTAGCGGTCATTTACCAGAAATATTTTGTAAATGTGTCTACAGACAGACAGGGAATGCAAAATAATGGGTACTGAGGTGACGAAGAATGCCCAGTGATGACTCATGACCATATGCATCACAAAGCCTACGAGATGGACCCTATTCTGAGGCCTGTGATGGAGAACAATGCAGACTATTGTCAGATCAACAAGCAGACCCCATTCAATGAGGGCTCTGTGTAGCCACCACAGAGGGGAGTCGGGCCAATCAGTGCTGCGTTGGGGGGAGGACCCTGGAACGTGTAAAAAAGATCCAGGGTGACCCTCTCCAACAGCTGCCCAAATCCAGGACTAGAAACCGTTTCCTCTCTCCGCTGGAAACAAATTAAACTGGATCCATCCCACAAGAAGACAARAGCCACCTTCAGCAAGGCCAGCGCTTCCCATGATGCTTTCCAACGAGCAATTTTACATGCTCCAAGAGAATTCACCCTTACAAGCCGCCAAAATGTTCAGCCTCATCTGTGACGAAGTGATTCTCCGTGAGATAGGAAATAAAACCTAACTACTGCCTCACCGGTTCCAGGACAACTTTTTCATGTTGGCACTTGAAGAAAACACTAAATGCAAACAAGCAGCGCTCTGTGGTTTCTGAATAAAGAGTATAGTCTCGTCTCGCCACCTTACCCTCATCTCCTACAGCTTCCAGGAACCTCCACACTGTTTGCTGCTCTGCCGAATCTGACCCCACTTGGCAACACCATCTCTAAATTCCCTCCTACAGAGTCCAACTCAACAGAAGTCTCTGTCCATCATCAAATCAACCCCTTTCTCTATCTAAAAAAAGGGGGGAGTCTTTTTGGGGTCAGAGAAGACTCTGGATAAAAATGAACATGTGTGCGAGAGGCTGAGGATGGGATCGGAATGTTCACCACATACAGACTGATCCTTCTGTCCGGTACACCAGCTGTCAGCCATCAAACAATGGGGTCGCTTGTTTAAGTTGAATAAAAAATTAAAACTGTAAACATGCGTAATATTCCAACATTTGAAGCTCAAAAACATTAAGCACACATTCAGCAACTTTTATGGATCAAAATAAGTCAGCTTCTGCTATCTGAGTGCAGCCAATAGTGTCTGACCTGCTTCCCTTTTCAGTTGATGTAGTTTGTAACATAATTTTAAGAGGGACAAACACAATCCTTGATGTTCACCCCCCATGATCGACGTGACAAACGAGGCCAGAGTCTAATCCTAGTTAGTTAGGGGGTCAGTGGGTGGAACGAGGAGCCAGGCAGGAAAGGAACATCCGGCCTGTCTTGTAGAGGAAGTGAAGATGCAGACCTGCCAGGATTAGAAATGCAGGACCGTCTGGTGAAGACGTTAACGCTGGGTCTGCGTGTGACCGAGGGGAGGAGAGGATTTAGGAGGCCGTCGCAGGGGATCAACGTGTAGGGAGAGATTATTATTTTCCAAATAACAACAGACTTATAGGTTGAGGTAGATTTTTTCCCCCCTCTTCTTGTGCACATGACTGAGTTAAATCTCAATTTGTGAAAGCTCATCGATATTACATAAAAGTTGTTTAGCTCTTCTGAAACGGATGACTCACTTATTTACACGACTTACGTGAATGCACCACAAGTTATTATCCCTTATAATGCTACTGAGTGATGACCAGCACTTCCAGCATTAAGTTCAATCCACTGCGCTCGTGAGGACGAAGGTGAAGCGCGTCAAACGGTTGCAGGTGCGGATAAATGTGTTTGACCAAATCACCTTAACCTCATTATAGAGTCATGGCGGCGGGCCACAGAGAGCCTGAGTCAACTGGCAGGCGTGTTGAGTTCAGGAGCGCTCGTACTGGAGGATGTGAGCAGGATTTCAGGCCAGCAGAGACAAACGTGACTGCTGAATCACTTGGTTTTAAACATATTATTTAAACACATTATGGTAAAACCATTACATTAGAGAAGTTAAAAAACAAATCTCGCAGCAGAGAAACAAAGCTGTCTAATAATGAAAGCAGAACAGGACAAACATCTGGTTTTGTCCTTGTAAAAACACCCAATTTGAAGTTTCGTTGAGGAGTGCCCAGCATGAATTGTTCTCTTCTTATGCCTGACAACTGCTGTGAGTTATTAGTGTAAACACTGAGACAACGTCCTATTGTGACCCCAGCTATTCATATTAACAAGAGATGTTTCGTGAGGCGGTACCACCAAATGGACGGCCGTTTGTCACATCCTGCATTCCTCGTTTGTGACGTAGGGCCGGACAGATTAAGACACGTGACGGACAGTAGAAACGGACGGGAGATAAACTCAACAGGTCAACCCTTCTCCGGTGCAGCAGCATGGATAGGATGATCGAGCAAAACTGCTACACCCAGGAAGTTTGGATGGCGTGCCAATGTCGAACTAAACAACTTCAGGCTATGTAAACGATCCCAAGAGGGGAGGTTTGTCAGAATATGTGTAATAAAGCAAACGTCAACATGAGGCTGCTGCGGTCAGCTGGTATGGATCCTCACCACAAGGTACAAATGAGATCAAAGGTTCGTATAACTTTAGCGCTCATCTATAAGCCGCTGGATTAAACTATACTAACAAAAGATAAATGGGTCCCACTCCAGCTCCTTATAATATTGCCTGCCACCAAAAGGCAAAGGTGGACGTTAATGGAGGGTTATTTTCCAGATACAATATTTTTTATTTTCCCTGTAAGTCTGTCTATAAGCAAATATCCCCTTGATGAATTTTATTGTGCATCTACAACTAAATGTCATTGCTAATCAATAATACCCAACACTAAGGATGTAAGAATATATTTCATTTCCTGATCCTGTATCGATTCTCTAAAGAACTATATCAATTTTCTATTAAGGCTTAAAATACAAAACTTAATGCTGGTGGTTTATTTTTGTTTTGTAGTTTAATCTCCAACCTCTAGTTGGCAGCAGCCAGACAGTCATTTGGCTCCTCCACTCCAGAGGAGCCTCGGAGTATAATGAATCATGATTACTAGAACTAAACGTTAGCACTAAGTACCGATGGCTGAATCCAAGCAGATTGGACCGGCACTCACTGCCTTCAAAGCTGAGGTAGGGATGAAATATGAAACACATACAGAGTTTTCTTTGTCAGAATTTTGGGAGAAAAAAATACAATAATTCACAATATATCGCCTTTCTAATAGTATCGCAATTAGGGACGCATGATGTATTGAACGTTGTTGGTTATTTTTTTAGCATATCGCTATCAGTCCGATACGTAAAACTGAGCTGATATTAACGTCTGATATTGATTTCCCACTTGTTGCTGTTTGTGTTTCTGTTTTGGGAGGGGAACTGGTTGGTTGGGTGGTATCTGATCATGGTAGTGACGCTGTACAGCCAGGAATAACTGAAGTAGAGTGCTATGTCAGCAGGCTGGTTGTTTTTGTTTTTTACAGTACCAAAAAAAAGACAAGTGTGTTTGTACGTATGTATATATAAGTAATTTGTGCATTTGTGTGATATCAGTAAATATTGGCTACCGGCCATAACAGCAATATTAATATCAGATATCGATATCTGCTGAAATTTTTATATTGGTGCATCCCTAATCCAGATATATTGTGATATTTCATATCACGACCCTTGTGTCAAGGTATCATATCACTAAATTCTTGTCAATACACAGCCTTAGCCAACACTAAAATAAAATWACTTACAAAATTCTGTATTTGCTCAGTTTAAGTATTATTATAAATTTGGTGATACGATACATAAAGACAGAGGAGTCTGATATATCATGATATATCTATTAACAAGTCGATATATTGCCTTTTTTTCTCCAAAAGATTCCTATTAAAAAAAACTAAGTGCACGCATAAAATCCAATTAAATTCAGTTTATTTCTATGTAATCAAAAGAACACTGAACATCCACAACATTCATCCACTGAAAGCCAATAAAGTGCTTTTGAGTTTCTATACCATATCAGGAAATGAAATACTGTGATATTTCAGTGTATTTTCTTACATCACTAATGACTCAACTAAAAAAAGTCAATTACAACACGTTTCATGTGTAACATTACACAATGTTACAAAATTGTGCAGAACATAACATGACAACATTTTCTTTCTTTCCCTATAGGGATCTTCCCAAAGGATGAGTGAAGTTGTTTTCAAAGTTTGGCTGCAAATTTATCATGTTTCAATGCAACATGTTAGTTTTAAACTGTGGCATTAAAGATGCTGCATTCTGTCAAGCAATACCAGGCTTTTAATTGTTTAACTGMACACATTAAAAATCTTGTTTTGACGTTAACATTATATTGTTAGTGTCTCAGAAAGTCACAGTCTTGTCAAAAACAGAWGGGAGACATTTCCCATCTTTCACATGTCTGAGGTTTTTAATGGTTCAGAGAGGCTGAAACATCTTAAAAGGTTTTAAAGCCCATCTGCACTGTAAGCAGATCAAACCAGCAGCTGAGTCTAAAAACAGAAGGACTCAGTAAAAAACTGGAGTTGGGGACATATTGCTTTTGGTTTCTGGCCTCTTTAACCACAGAAAAGAGCAAAGCTGCTCCAACAAATTACTGGACATCAAAGTCAAACTCTGGAGCTGCTGGTGTACCAAAAAAMTCTGTGATTTATGTCTGACTGACCTCCAGCTGTCGGTGTTGAAGCTAATTAAACTATTTTAAAAGCTTTAATTTCAACTATTGCTAAAGCTACGAGCTACAGTTTACTACATGCTGGATTTAGCTAGAAAAAGTGACTAAACAATTTGTTTTTAAATCAGAGCTTTCAGCTGCTACCCATTAATAAACTCACCTCATTAAAGTGCTGTTATTTTAAACGCTTTTTAAGCTTTAAGTAGTCTTAAAGTGATAATAGTAGTTTAGTTTGCAGTGAATGGCGCGGACGGTTRGTTGGTCTGCAGCGGGATGATGTCGAGCTGAACTTCCTCCAACTTCACGTGTCTCTGAGTAAAATAAAACAAATAAAGGAGTTTCCTTACCTTGACCCGACCATTTTCTTTACATGGTCAACGAGACGTGAACAGAAAGTAAAGCTGTGTCTGGAGCGGTGAGTTGTCACGGAGCAGCCGCGGCGGTGAGTGGAGGCTCTGGCTCCAGCACGGCTACATCCGGAGTCTCCGCCTCCCCACGTGAGTCATGGGGTTGGGATGGGGGTCACCCGGTCTGCAGCCGACCCCCGCTCTACCCCCTACGAAGAGCCTATTCAGACAACTCCTCCCCGCTTGTATTACATACCTCCAAAACAAGAAGAGACTCACTATCTCTATGGAAGATCATCTCTGCCGCTAAGCTGGAATAAAAATAAATAAATCGGAGTCATGATTCTGAAATGCTGAGTCATGATTTGTTTGTTAGCTGGTGACAAACAATACACAGTTTTTGATTTGAAGTGTTTGTTTATGTGTGTCCATCCAGGGGTCACTGATGCATATTGGGCGGGGTACATCCTGCAGGTTTTATGTTAAATATCATCCAGGGGCACCAACAGAAAGAGAAAAGTTACCCCCCCTGCCACAGATCCTGATCCTTTTGGGCCCCGACATTTTTTTCTTGTGAATATTTTTGTCTCCATCAGCTTTGATTTGTACATCAAAAACACAAACATTGTTTTTGAACAGTGAGGAATTACTAATATATATTATTC